ATGGTAAAGAAACTGTGAAATTTGAAAGATGTGTCAAAATGCCTTGATGAATTATGAAATGAGGCATAGAGATAAAAATCATGATAGTACATCTGAAGCTTTATTTGTTAGAGGTAGATCATCGGAGAGAAGATCATCTTCTAGTAGGAAAAAATCACAGTCTCGACCTAGAGGAAACTCTAAAGGTAGAAAACCTTTGGAAAGAGATGAATGTGCCTTTTGTCGTAATAAAGGCCATTAGAAGAAAGATTGTCCTAAATTGAAGACCAAAGGCAAAGAAAGTTCTGAAGCTAATGTTGCTGAGGTTGAAACAGATTTTTCTGATTTTGCTTTAACCACTTCCTCATCATTTGCTTGTGCTACTAAGTGGGTGTTGGATACGGGTTGTACTCATCATATGACTCCTCACAAGGATTGGTTTTCAAGCTTGAAAGAGTTTGATGGTGGCGTTGTGTTTATGGGAGATGACAATCCTTGCACAACAAAAGGGATTGGTACAGTTCGTTTGAAGTTGCATGATGGCATGGTTAAAGAGTTGACAGGTGTTCGGTATGTACCGAATTTGAAGAAAAATCTTATTTCTTTGGGTACTTTGGAATCCAAGGGTTTCAGGTTTCATTCAGATGGACAGACATTGAAAGTTACTTATGGTGCACTTGTTGTGATGAAAGCTCCTAGATGTGGCCATTTGTATTTATTGCAGGGAAGCACTGTGACAGGTGAAGCATCTGTAGTCTCTGAAAATATGGGCACATCTGATTCAGATACTACTAGATTGTGGCATATGAGATTAGGCCATGCCGGTGAGAAAGCTCTACAAGGGCTTGTGAAACAAGGTCTTTTAAAAGGTGCCACGACTTGTAAGCTTGATTTCTGTGAGCATTGTGTCTTAGGAAAGCAAACTAGAGTGAAGTTTGGTACTGCTGTACATCAGACAAAGGGCATTCTTGATTATGTGCATTCGGATGTTTGGGGTCCTACAAAGACTCCCTCTTTGAGTGGTAGACATTGGTTCGTGACCTTTGTTGATGATTATTCAAGAAGGTCTTGGGTCATACTATGAAGCACAAGAGTGAGGTGTTAAGCATTTTCTTTGGTTGGAAGAAAATGGTTGAGAACCAGACTGGGAGAAAGATTAAGATTTTGAGATCGGATAATGGTGGTGAATACACATCCGATCATTTCTTTAAAGTTTGCAAAGAGGAAGGAATTGTGAGACATTTCAGTGTTCGGGGAACTCCACAACAAAATGGAGTTGCAGAAAGATTGAATCGAACCTTGCTTGAGAAGGTTAGATGTATGTTGTCTCAATCGGGTTTAAGCAAGTCATTTTTGGGCAGAGGCAGTTAATTATGCATGTCACATCATCAACCGGTTACCCTCAGCTGCTGTTTCAGGGTAAGACACCAATGGAGGTATGGACTGGAAAACCTTCTTCTGATTATGACTATATCCGTATTTTTGGTTCACCTGCTTATTTTCATGTGACTGAAAATAAACTTGATCCTAGAGCCAAAAAAGCTATCTTTCTTGGCTTTAGTAGTGGTGTCAAAGGTTACAGGTTGTGGTGCCCAGAGATGAAAAAAATTGTAATCAGTAGAGATGTGACATTTGATGAAGAAAATATGTACAAAGTCTCTGAGAAGAATGTGAAAGATGTCCAACAGGTGGAGCTTGAGAAAGTTGCCTCTGGTACTTCAAATCCTATTTCCGCTGATGTCGAAGCCACTACAAGTGAAGAAGTTGGAGACCATGAGGATGTTGAAGAAGTTGAACTTGAAGATTCTATTCAAGTTGAAGAGGAAGTTTCACCTCAAGAGTCTATTGCCAAGAACAGAGGAAAGAGACAAATTACCAAGCCAGCTCGGTATAGTGACTATGTTTCTTTTGCTCTTCCTATTATCACTAATGAGATTCCATCCAATTTCGAGGAAGCCATTGCGAGTGAGGAGAAGGAGAGGTGGTGCAATGCCATGGGTGATGAGATGAATTCTCTTTTGAAGAACAAGACTTGGGAGTTAGCTAAATTGCCTAAGGGCAAGAAAACTATCGGTTGCAAATGGGTGTATGCCAAGAAAGAAGATGCTGATGAGAAAAACAATGTGAGATTTAAAGTAAGATTAGTTGCTAAAGGGTATGCACAAAAGGAGGGCATTGACTACAATGAAATATTTTCTCCAGTTGTGAAGCACTCCTTAATTCGTATTATGTTAGCTCTTGTTGCACAATATGATCTTGAGCTTGTGCAACTCGATGTGAAGACGGCTTTCCTACATGGTGATTTGAATGAAGAGATCTATATGTGTCAACCAGATGGGTATATAGTGAAAGGGAAGGAAAATTTGTTTTGCAAATTGAAGAAATCACTTTATGGCTTGAAGCAATCTCCAAGGCAATGGTATTTGAGGTTTGATAAATTTATGAGAGGCTAAAATTATTCTAGAAGTCAATATGATCATTGTGTGTACTTCAAGAAGTTGCAAGATAGGTCTTTCATTTATTTGTTGATATATGTTGATGATATGTTGATTGCCTCAAAGAATGTTGAAGAGATTGAAAAATTGAAGAAGCAAATGAAGAATGAGTTTGAGATGAAGGATCTTGGTGAAGCGAAGAAGATCCTTGGCATGGAGATCACTACTAGAGATAGAGAGAAGGGTTTGGTCAGTTTGAATCAAAGACAATACCTTGAGAAATTGATTCGGAAGTTTGGAGTTCATGATTCAACCAAACCGGTTAGTACCCCTTTGGCTCCTCATTTAAATTGAGTTCTCTACAGTGTCCTAAAAATGATAAAGAGAAGCTGCAAATGAAAAATATACCATATACAAATTTGGTTGGTAGTTTGATGTATGCAATGGTATGCTCTAGACCGGATATTGCTCATGCAGTTAGCATGGTGAGTCGATATATGCATAATCCAGGTAAAGAGCATTGGCAAGCAGCTAAGTGGATATTGAGGTATCTCCATGGTACTCGAGATGTTAGTTTATGCTTTGAGAGAGATGACTCTGGTATTGGTCATTTTGCAGTTGGTTATGTTGATTCAGATTATGCAGGTGATCTGGATGGAAGGAAGTCTACTACAGGCTATGTGTTTACTATGGCTAAAGGGTCAGTTTGTTGGAGGTCCATTTTGCAGTCGTCTGTTGCCTTGTCTACTACAGAAGCTGAATATATGGCAATTGCTGAACCTATAAAGGAGGCCATTTGGATACATGGGCTGATTAGAGATTTGGGGGTTGATCAGAAGCAGGTGGAGGTACATTGTGATAGTCAGAGTGCCATTTATTTGGCTAAGTATCAGGTTCATCATGCGAGGACCAAGCACATAGATGTGCGTTATCACTTTGTTCGTGAAATTGTTGGTGAAGGGGAAATCATTCTCCAGAAGATTCCAACTAAAGACAACCCCGCTGATATGTTGACTAAGGTTGTTGGTGTAGCCAAGTTTGTTCACTGTTTGAACTTGGCTCACATTTTGCCTATATAAAGAAGGCGTTGAGCAGTAGGAGTTTTGGAGCATTTGGCTCTGTATGAGTTGTTCTCTTGCTAGTGTTTGGGAGTGTTTTTGTGTTGGTTGGCTTATCATGGTGATTTCGGAACTTGGCCAAGGTGGAGATTGTTGGAGTATGTGGCCAAGTGGCCAACTTTTGGCTATAAAAAATTATAAAGAAAAAAAAAGAAAGGACAACATGATTATGTTTCCTTGTTTTGTGGCATGTTTTGTGGCTTTTTTGAAAAGCCATAATTATGATGTTTGTTTCGGATAGAAGAGAAGAGATGGAGAGCTCATTTTTCAGTAGAGAGAGCTGAAGAGAGAAGTGAGAGCTGCAGAGAGAAGTTAGAGCTCTTTTTCTGCAGAGAGCCCAAAAGGAAGAAGAAGCTGCTGCTTCATTTGGTTAGTAATCATCCATCAAAATAGGTGTTGTTGTAATAGCTTTGAGCTATATGTATAGAGAAAGAAATTATTCATTATATTTCTTTCTCTATTTGTTTCTGTGGTGTGTGAGAGCTATTGGGTGTATTGGGTTAGTTGGGTTGTGAGATTGCCAACACTTTGTAAACTCCCATGGATTATTGGGTGAGCTCCTACTGCTCCGAGGACGTACTCCAGTTACACTAACTGTTGAGGAACCTCGTTAAAATCTTGGTGTCTTTAATATTTTGTTCTTGCATTTTATTTGATATATTTCCTGTGGGTTATCAAGAGTTGGTTCTAAAAGGTTTGGTGCTATCCTAGCACAACACTTTTCACTGCATTGCTTTGTATTCGTGTTGATGCTATTGAATTGGTTTAATAGTCAGTTAAACCCTATTAATAATGTCTTTAACCTCTTCTATGCTGACTCCCTCCATAGCATTATGCCTAGAGCATCAGAGGAGAGACGGGGAGAGGGAGATTTGTAACGCATTTGGTGCCTCAGATTCTATTGGATTGGATTGGACAACTCATTGTACTGTCACGCATGTGACACATGAAGAAATGGAGGCCAACTTCGAAATTGCAAGAATGGAATCGATCTAATTCCTTTAACTTGGACAAAACTTGGAATTTGACCGTCCTTTCTTACTTTAACACATACCTTGAATCCTATGAGTTATCTAACGCAATTCTAAGCACCAAACATGCCCTTGAGGAGTTGGTTTCCGAGTAACTTTTGAAATTTTGATAGAGCGTTTTTCAGCCACCAACGCCGAAGAAGTACATTATTCGTCCCATGGTAAGATAGGATCTCAATTCTGATTGTCTTATGTTTCACTTGATTGTAAATCAAAGTCTTTTTCCATGAATCCGAAAGTTTAATCTTCTATTTTTGTGTTTTATGATGAGGGAATCGGATCGTCTTCACTAATAAAAAAGAAGAGATTCTTAGATGTACAACACTGTTCAATACACAACTCGAATTGAAAGTCTCCAAGTAAAAACAAGACATATAGAGAATTCTTTCACTAAAAGTAACCGAACTCGACATCCATGAGATCAAAGGAAACATAAATCATTTGTGAAGCAGAGTATTAGAAACAATTAATATAATACTAGAAAGATTTAGCAAATCCCTAGTATCTTGCCAGAGACTTGTTGGTTCAGATGGTGGCTGCTTAAAGTTCTCTGAACACCCATTGAACTCTCCCAAGGCACCAGCTGCTGCATTTCTCACACCATTGTAGTCACCAACCTTCGCTTTCTCCTTGGCCTCCTTGAAATTTGCAACGGCCTCGTTGTAATTTCCGGCACAAGATGTGTACCTCAGCCGCAACGCCGGATTGCCCGCCTGGTTCTTCCACTTTACTATGTGATCTCTAGTGGCTGTAGTATTGGAATATCCCAAATCTACGGTGACACCGGCCAGGCTGCGAAGAAGTGCCTCAGTCACACGGGGATTCGAACTTAGGAGCAGAGAACAGAATGACGGGTTCATGGATTGTTTGCAAATAGAATGAGTAAACTGTCATTTAACCCCCTGAACTATCACGTGAGTTTCAATTTCCCCCCTGAACTATTTTTTCAGCCAATTGACCCCCTAAACTATGTTAAAGTGGCCAATTAACCCCCTACCGTTAAGTATCTTTAACTCCATCCAATTTTCTTTTAGAAAGTGTCATGTGCTTGGCACATGACCACCTTTTTACATTTTATGTCTAAATCTTTACAAAGAAAACATATAAAACAAATATTAAAAAAAAAATACATACAAACCCTAAACTTAATCATTCAAAATAATAGAAAAGGTAAGGCTTTTTATATTAACACTCCACAAAATGTTGAATGCACCCCATATTAAAATTTAATATTAAATGACTTATTTACTCCACTATGCAATGACAATTTTGACCTTATTAGGTTTTAAAAAAATATATATAAATACACTCCAAATCACTTTTAACGTAGTATTTATCTTCTCAACTATCAAAACCCTCTCATCCTCCATTGTTGAACAAAATCCTAACCAATGAAAATACAAACATGTTGATTGAGAAAAATTGTTTTTGATGAATGAAACACGAAATCGATGTTTCTGAAGCTTCACATGAGGTAAGACTTCACATTTTTCATTGTTTTAGTGATTTTGATGACATCGATAATTATTTAATTTTGCGTTTGCTGCATTATTTTTCAATATGAACCCTAAAAGATGAATATGAATATGAATATGAATATGAATATATAAGTTTAAATAATGCAGCAAACGCAAGATTAAATAATTATCGATGTCATCGAAATCACTAAAACAATGAAAAATGTGAAGTCTTACCTCATGTGACGTTTCAGAAACATCAATTTCGTGTTTCATTCGTCAAAAACAATTTTTCTCAATCAACATGTTTGTAGTTTCATTGGTTAGGATTTTGTTCAACAATGGAGGATGAGAGGGTTTTGATAGTTGAGAAGATAAATACTACGTTAAAAGTGATTTGGAGTGTATTTATATATATTTTTTTAAAACCTAATAAGGTCAAAATTGTCATTGCATAGTGGAGTAAATAAGTCATTTAATATTAAATTTTAATATGGGGTGCATTCAACATTTTGTGGAGTGTTAATATAAAAAGCCTTACCTTTTCTATTATTTTGAATGATTAAGTTTAGGGTTTGTATGTATTTTTTTTTTAATATTTGTTTTATATGTTTTCTTTGTAAAGATTTAGACATAAAATGTAAAAAGGTGGTCATGTGCCAAGCACATGACACTTTCTAACAGAAAATTGGATGGAGTTAAAGATACTTAACGGTAGGGGGTTAATTGGCCACTTTAACATAGTTTAGGGGGTCAATTGGCTGAAAAAATAGTTCAGGGGGGAAATTGAAACTCACGTGATAGTTCAGGGGGTTAAATGACAGTTTACTCCAAATAGAATTGACATCAAATGCCTGAGAAGGAGTCATGACCAAGAAGGAGATTATCAGAATGCAAATGGAGCTAGGGTTACAAACTGAACACATTTTTCTCATTTCTTGGAGTGTTTCTAAAGTGTTGAAGGTGTGAGTTGTTTATATAGTGATTAATGGGAGGTAACGTTTCCTTGGTGAGTAAGAAAAATATGAAAATGGATATTTTTGATGCGGTCCCTAATCCTTAACATTCTTTGATTAAAACCTTAATATTATTCAAAGTTTGATCAAGGTCCCTTGACTTTGTACACCTCATTATATTACTATTAATATTTATATTTTTATAGTTTTGACATTAATTATTTGATATTTTATGAGATTTATAATCTTATAAATTTAAAATCCCTCATTATAATACTATTAGAAACGGTTACAATAAAAAAATTCAAACATTTTGATTGAATAAATGGATAAAAAATATGTAAAAATAAGAAATAATAAATGGCAAAAGAATGTATCCATAGTGTTAAAAAAATTAGTACATTTTACAAAAAAATTGGTACATTTCACATATAACAAAGTGGTACATTAATAAAGAAGAATGGGTACATTAGAAATAAATTAGGGTACAAATAAAAGATTAAAATTTATGAATACAAATGAATTTTTTAAAATATAGGCGCTAAAAGAAATTAGTACATGGGTACAAAATAAAACTAAAAAGAAAATACAACAAATTTAAAAAAAAATGTTGCAAATTAAAAGTGGGTACAAACTAAAAATATAAATATATGATACAAAGTTTACGCATAAAACATAAATATACCATATGTAATTTTTCTATTATTGATTAAATATACAATGTCACGTGATGGTATACACATGGGTACAAACACAAATAAAACTTAAAAAAATATGGGCACAAAAAGAAACTAATATATGAGTACAAATTAAAAATGAAAAGAAAATCGGTACAAATTAAAAAATATTTGCAAATTAAAAATAGGTACAAACTAAAAATGAAATTATATGATAAAAAAATTTAGCCATAAATATAAATATACTAATTGTAACATTTTTAACATTAAAGGAATATATTTAAAAATAAAAATATTTTATTATTCAATTAATTAATGATGTTATTAATACCTAAGGACTTTGATCAAAAATTGAAAATGAATAGGATTTTAATCAATGGAGTAACAAAAAGAAGAATGTGAACCTAATTTTCCCATATGAAAAATATTGATTCTTCACGTGAGGTCTAATTTTGTCTTGTAATTTAAAAGCAATGTGGCAGTTTTTGCAAATTGATAATTCGTAATTAAATGCAGTCAAGCATTTTGGTGAGAGTCGGTGTGTACTGCCAGTTGTTAACATTGTAGTAGTTAGATACATTAATACAGGTAAAATTTGAATAAGTGGACTAAATGTCATTCTGGCGCGGTTACACGTTGGAGTTTCACGAGTTTAAATGCATGTAGTTCAATAGATAGGGAGACATTTTTCAGCGTGCCGAGAACATGAGCAGTACATAAAGTGTTATAATATAAGTGTTTAATTTTGTATTTTTTTAAGTATCCAATCACTTGTATTGTGACATTTGGTGTATCCGTGTTACTGGCATACTGAAAAATCTCTCGTGAATAAGGTGTTGGGTTCTACACATGCATCTTGAGTTCAAAAATTCTCACTTACCTTAATTATTGTAATAGTTTTAAACCATGCACTACCCCATAATAATAATATTTTTAAAGAAAAACATGCATTTAAATGTTGAAAGATGAGTGTAATTTAAGTTGGGAATGCATGTATTTCATGACACCTTCACAACGTAAGAACATTGTGTAGTCAAGTGGCGGACCGAGAAATTTTTCTCGGGCGGAACCAATGGCACAATGTCAAGTTTGTACCTAAGTAGGATTAGGCCTAATTAGACCTTATGAACCAGGTCAATGTCTTACTTATTAGTAAAATAGCGTTTATATTAATATCAATCAAACATTGACACATCAAATTTTACAGTATGAAGCGCTCTTAATTTATTAAGTTGATGCCTTTAATACACATACAAGCAAACCCAAACAAAATCTATTTTATTTTTTATTTGGAGGAGACAAAAAGCAAAGTTAAATTGTAGCAGGGAAAAAGGATTAGATCAAAACAAATGATCAGAGAAGTTTGAGAGATGGAGGAAGCATAGGGAGGAGAGTTAAAGAATGTTCTGATGGCAAAGTTCAAAGAAGGAACTTCAGAGACCCAGATCGAGCAACTCATCAAATCCTATGCCAACCTGGTCAACCTCGTTGAGCCCATGAAGTCCTTCCACTGGTACACAATAGCTCCTCCACCCTAATCTCTATCTTGATTCTTTTACCCAATTATAACGAGTGAAAGAATGAATGAATATAATTCTCAGTCATACGTTTACTTAAAATTAACGATTTGAAAAAAACGAATCATCATGTTTTTTTGTCAACATTCTCATTAATCAGTTTACTAATAAGGAATTGAAAAAAAATTAAGTGAAGGTATCTCGTACCGGAAAATCAAGGTAATGAGATTATCAAGAGAGGGGATGTTTATGTCATCTCTAATCCTCCATATCATTATCTTATTCCCTCTCATGGTAAGTAAACATTTCTTGAGGTATATTAAAATAGAGGTGAATGTTTTTTTATTTTTTTATTTTGATGGGATAAATGGCGTTTTGCAGTGTTTTTTTATTTTCAAACGGCTTATGTTGTGCTTTAAAAATAATTAGCTGCAAAATAAAGCAGGTGAGAGTTTGATAAACTGTATTTTTAAGAGGGTTGTGAGTATGAAAAACAGTGTAAACGTGTTTGTTAAATTTTAGTGTAAATGTGATATACAATGACAAAAACAGACATGATAGTGTGGGCGACGACAACAATGGATATTTTACCAAACTGCTTCTAAAAACTGCTGTCTGAAGGCCATTACTTTTAAAATAAGCATTACATTTTAGTAATTACCAAACATTTTTTCCTTAAATTTAAAGTGAAACTGCTTTTGATAAAAAGAAAAAAAAAAACCAAATTGGGCCTAAGAATGAAGAAAACATCCTCTCATCTAGGAGAATTAAAATGATTGTTTTTTTTTTAATGAGGAATTCATTATCTACATTCAAGTTTGACAAAATATTATCGTTTCTTCTTCAACATACCTTAATGTATTTATTATATTGGTAATGCTAAGGAGACCAAACTTTGAAATCAACTTTGCAAACCAAATGATGTGTCACTAATAGAAAATAAGCACGTTAATCAACGCTTAAGTAATAATTCACTCATCAATAACCACATCATTTGGTTTGTAAATTTGGTTTAAATATTTTGATCTCCCAAGCATTATTTGCTCACGTGACAATTTTTTAATGAGTAATGCTAAGGAGACCAAACTTTTAAATCAAATGATGTATCACTAATAGATCTAAACTCAGCATAACCCTTTTGAAGATTTACATAGCAATCATTGCAATGAATTTGTTAAACAATCTTGTGTGATAAGTTGGTGTCCAACGAAGTTAACAAATCTTTGTGTAATAAGTTGGTGTCCAACGTAGTACTAGAGAACTACTTTATACCATGGCCTGAGTAGTATCAGAGACCAACTTTATATCTCAACTGACGTAATAATTTTTTATTTTTTATTTTTTTGTTTTTATGAGAATGTTGTAGACTTTTCACAACAAATTAGAAATTGTCACATCATTTGATAAACCAAAAATTGTGTAATACGTTAGTGTCTGATGTGATCTATTTGCAAAGATTTTTTATATAGTGCTCCAATGTATAAATATATTGAACTTTTTAACCGTTAGAACGTTAATCAGGGGAAAGGAGCTGAGCATTGAGAAGCAAGAGGAAGGTTACACTCATGTCTTTGAGACCACCTTTGAGAGTGTGGAGGGTATTGCAGAGTTTTCAGGTCATCCTGCCCACCATGATTTTGCCAAGCTGTTCCTTCCCAATTTGGAGAAATTATGTTTCATCGCAGCACGAGATCAGCAAGTCATAGCCCTCAAAAACCCTACCGAAGTACAGGCTATGTTGATGAAGATCCTTTCCAAATAGAAAGATTAATCAGAATATTTCTTGAATTTGGGCTTTCCCTTTGTGTTCCTAATAAATGTAACTGTGTGAGTGATTGCAATGGTGTCAGTTTCATGCAATGAGGTTTTAGTGACATTACTCATTCGATGAAGCTATTTGTACTAGTTTGCCAGCAGGTGAATAACGAAAACGAAAACTGAAGGGTTTGTTTGAAAATTATTTGGTTTTTAGATTTTTATTTTTTATGATATATACATGAAGAGGTGGGGAAAAATTGGTATCGAACCTTTTATTTATGAGATTTAAATTTAATACCTCTCACTTACGGTTATTATTTTTTATTATTTTTTATACTTTTTTTGCTTCACATATAGGAAGGGAAATCAAAATCTTAGAAAGTGAAAATAATTTGAAATAGTTTTTAGCTTTTTTATTTGTGTACCGTTCCTTAATGATGTTTACTATGAAATTTAATTACCAAATAATGTGTCAGTGCATGTGTCAATATCTTGTTTGGTAAAATAAATTTTAGATTTTACCTAATTAAATCAATCACACACTTCCACATCATTACTAAATAAAATTCGGTGAACAAATCTGATGTGCCTAACATTACTTGAATAATTAGGTTTACGAGTTCATTATACTATACAGGCTTTTTAACCAAAATGATATCTGAAATTGACATAATTCCTCATTTTGGTACTTGAGATTGAAAATGGATAGAAGTAGTCTCTAAGTTTGTCCACATTAAATCATTTTGACCATTCCATGAACAATCTGTTAATGTCATCGTTAAATTATCACGTGAGAGACTACATGACCACTTTTTTAATGATATTTTTTGTCAAACCAACCCTTTTTAGCCAAAATGGTCCCTAAGATTAATATAACTTGTCACTTTGGTCATTGAGTTTGTCCTCGTCAATCATTTTGTCATTTCGTGAAAATTCTGTCAGTGTCCTCGTAAAATAGTCACATAACGAGGATATTGACATATTTTGTTAATAAAACTATTTAATTTTGTTTCTTCTGTGAAAAATCTATTGTCACTATCCTCGTCAAGTTGAGAAGTTAATTTGACAAAAATAATTTAAACAAATGGTCACACAGTTGCTCACGTGACAATTTTTTAATTCATTACATTGAAATTGGCGCGATCATTAGTCATAGCATTACGAGCCTCCAACAAGTCAGAATATGGCTGGAAGTGCTCTTAACTCCTGAAAAAACCACGAGTGAAACCCAATAAACACTTTTTTGGTACCACCACCAACGACTCTCTCAGCACATTTTGGTTTTCTCTTGGATGGCTACCACCAGGTCCACCACCACCACCGCTCTCGGCGCCTCCAGTTCAGGTTACCCATTATTTTTCTTTTTATATTTCTCGAATTTATTTTCTTATTCCAGTTCCTTATTTTCTCTGTTTACGCTAGGCCAGGTCTGTTTGTTTCCCACAAAAAAAAAACGCATTGAAGATCAAAGAAAATCAATGGGTTTTCCGAGAGGTCGAAACAGGATGAGCCTGAAAAGTTCACCTTTTTTCTTTGGGAATTATGAATTTAAATCTACGGTGACACCGGCGAGACTGTGAAAAAGTGCTTCAGTCACGCGGAGATTCGAACTTAGAATTAGAGAACAGAAAGACGCGTTCATGTTCATGGATTGTTTGCAAATGGAATTGAGATCAAATGCATGAGGAGTCATGACCAAGAAAGAGATTAGCAGAATGCAAATGGTGCTAGGGTTATTGTTGACCCTAAAAACAATCAAGTCTACGTGGCGCGCAAGTCAAGCAATTAAAAAGCTAATTACGTCAACTCGACGGCCGAGCTTGGCCGGTGAGTAAAATGAGTTGATGTTGCGTTGGGCGCGCTGCTGACTTCTGAATCTTACGACTACGGCCAAGAAACGAACACGTCTCGGCCTTCGGGTTCTAGAGCCTGAAGACAAGGCTGCTAGTTCTGCGAAGTTCAATATCAAATTCGACTCTCAGGATAACGAATGTATTAACCTGGTAACACCTCACTTTGCCAAGAGAGCTGATGAGATGACCTCTGCCAATAAGGACTTGAAAATCCTTCTTGACTGAGACTTGGATAGGTAACCAATCGGTCTCGAAGCAGTGTTATTTATCCAAACTGAAGGTGCTCCGCGGTCGAATGGTTCTACGGCTACAATGTTGTTTATCCAAATTGAAGATGTTCACCGGTTGCCTTCACAGTGCTGTTTATCTAAACTGAAGATGTGTTGCCGAAAAAGGAAAATAAAAATCTCAAGGTTGTTGAGAGGTTTCGAGTAGAGCGAGAGTTTGCGTAGGGCAGTTTGTGTGTTGAATTGGAGGGGCTCAAATGTTGCCTGCGGCTCTTTATTTATAGTAGCGAACCTACTCTTGGCCGAACCAGAGATGTATCCGGACCAAAACTCCCGAATCTAATCTGATTAGGATTCGGCCAATCCTAGTTGCAATAGGTTTATGAACCAAGCCCTATAATGAATCAGATTCATTCATGTGCTCTCAATGCTTCCAACACCGAAACCCCTTGTTGTACCAGGATTCAATTTCTTCGCCCTTATCCAAATCAATCCCTCTTACAATAGGACTCGGTCGACCCGATTGGACGGCTAATGACAGCTGGACGACTCATAATACTTCTCGAAGAGCACTGGGCAGAGCACAAGCCTAAGCTCGGCCCAATAATATTATTTTGGGCCTAAACAGTTACAAATTGAAGAGCTCATTTTTCTCATTTCTTTGGGAGTTCTAATTACTTTTACTGAAATGTTGCAAGTGTGAGTTCTTTATATAGGATTAATGGGAGGTCCGCTTCCTTGGTGAGTAAGAAAAATATGAAAAATATTGATTCTTCACGTGAAGGCTAATTTTGTCTTGTAATTTAAAAGCAACGTGGCAATTTTTGCAACAATAATGCTATTTTTACCATATTTTTATACTATATTTATATCCTATCTTATGTGGCATTTGATGTGGACAACCACATCATTTAAATTAATCAGAATTCCATTTAAATTAAAAATCATTTAATAAACCAATAATTAAAAAGATGGAATTAAATGGTTATTGTGGCATACGAGGAATCTTCTCTTTCCTTCCCGTTGAATCTTGCTTCTTCTCCCCTTTCTTCTTCCACTACTGAATCAAAGAACTTGCTGGAATGATCTTCCATTGTTTTACTTGGTGGGGTGCTGTCTCTGCTCTGTGAATAGCTTTGGTGTGGTGAGTACGATTATTTACATAATTAGGTGAATAAGAATAGTATTTCTTACTGTTTTAGACACTTTGTACTGTTTGATTTGATATTTTTGGCGCCAAGGTAACTTCTTTTCCAGTTACATTAACGGAAGTAGATTAATTGTTGTAAAGTTTCAATCTTTGGTTAAAACGATGGAGATTGGATATATCTGCCTAAATTTGAAAAGTCAGAATTTTTAAAGCAAATTTTGTTTCTGGTGTACCATCATTTCTTTATTTGGGGGTTTAGTGAAAGCTTTTTTGTGATGTTTAATGTTGTAGAGTTTGATCAGAACTAGTTTATTATGGTGTTGTTAGAAAGCCATCGATATAAATCTTCAATATTTAATTAGGAAAATAAAGATTTGATTAATCCTGAAAGAAAAGAGGGAACTTGGGATTTATCTACCAAAAGGATATGAAAAATTCGCATTTTTGAATGCCATTCAGATTTTGGTGTTTTGTTTAGTTAGGGTTTAATGTAAGATTTTTGTGATGTTTGATGTGGTAGGGTTTCAATGAAGACCATAGAGAGAGAAAAGCTTTTGAAAGGCGGGGAAGTAATTATGTCGGAGAAGCTTTCTTCCAATGGAGGTGAAGTTGTACTGGAAGTTCGAAGCGAAGCGATCAATGCAGCAGAACTCTCAAGATGGATCAGAATACGTTTTGTGGTTTGATTATTGTTTAGGGGTGTGCTATCCACACACCCCTTTTTACTTCTCACACACCCTTTGTTAATTTCTGTCCGTTGATCTTCTTCAATTCATTCGATCCGACGGCCCAAAATTAGAAGGGTGAGTGAGAAGTAAAAAAGGGTGTGTGGATATCACATCCCATTGTTTATTATGTTCTTTATTAATGTCAAGATGGATCAGGGAAGAATAAACGTCTAAAACATTAGAGACCTTATTATCTTAGTATCTAATATTGACTTAGTTCCTCAATAATACATTAGAGACTCTATTAATGGCATACAAATAAAGAGACATTTTATCACTTTTAGATTAGGCTTTCTGATCACTTTCAAATTAGGCTTTCTTATCACTTGAAAACCGAACCTTTACAACAAAGATGAAAGAAATAGTATTACATATAGTTATATTATTGTGATCAACATTATACATTACTTCGTGTTAGCTAGGGATAAAAGATTTTTTGTTGTGGGTTTGTTTTTTCAGCCATTGCAGTGCATATACTAGAATTAAGAGACTTGCACATATGGCTAGTGTATTCACATTGATAGTGTGGTGTAATATATAAACTTGTATAATTATGTTTTATGTTTTAGGAACATGGAGTTCTTCTAATGAATTTACTAAAGAAGATGATGTAGTTGAAGTGAGTTCTTGTAATGAAACAGAAAATGATGGGGTTCATACAATAGAAACTTTTAATGAAAGTATTGGAGGAGATGATGCAATTGAAGCAATTTCTGATGCCATTGAAGCATAAGGCAATGGGGTTCATGCAGTGGAAAATAATGGGACTAACATGGATCGAACACAATGAATGTGGAAGAAAAGGTCTAAGAGCCTCAAGTTGGAATGATCTTTGACAATGCAGATCAAGTGGCTACATATTACAAAACATATGGGAGACAATCAGGATTTCTAGTGATAAAGAGATCATCAACGAAGGGAGATGATGGAAAATTGAGGTATATTACTATGTGTTGTGCTCGATTAGGTACATCAAAAAGTACTTCAAGTAATCCTCTTAAGCCATATCCAAGTATAAAGAATGATTGCAAGACTTAACTAAGGGC